ATGAATGTATTCTTGAGACCTTTAGTTGATGAGTTACAAGACCTATGGGCAAATCTAATTCTTCCTTCAAAATGTAGGCTGCTTTAATGTGGACTGTCAATGACTTCCCTGCTCGTAGTAGTTTATCTGGTTGGGTGGGTCAGGATTATCAAGCTTGTCTGAAATGTAATGCGGAAATACCGTTAAGGTGTTACATCACTAAGGTTTGCTATGTTGGTCATCGAAAGTAGCTTTCACTTGATCATAAAATGAGAAGCTGCAAACAGTTTGACGGTAAGATTGAAAATGTTCAACCCCCCGCCCAAAGACCAGTATAAAAATATTGAACCATCTTAGATATGTTCACGTCAGGTTATCGGGTAAACACACAAAATTCCGAGGTATGAGAAGGAAGCGCAACCCAAATGAGTTAATTTGGTCGAAGGTGAGTATCTTCTGGGAGTTGCCGTATTAGTCATCAATGTTATTGCAACACAATCTCAATGTTATGCACATTGAGAAGAATGTATGTGACAGTTTAGTCAGAACTCTGTTGAACATAGAGGGAAAGGCCAAGGATACAGACAATGCACGAAGGGATTTGAAGGAGATGGGCGTCAGAAAGGAGTTGCATTTATTCAAGCATGGTGATCGATGGTTGAAACCGCATGCTAAATATACCTTAACGCCCGGGAGTGTGACCTAAAATGACTCAGCGACGTTCATCTCTTGCTTCTTCCTCCTCTGGAACACAGTCCGGGATGCCTACCGCAGGTTTAGCTCTAGATATGCAACAGTGGCTTTCGGTTTTACACACCAGTCATATGGAGTTGGTCAAGAAAATGATGGAGCTACGATGTGGAGTTGAGTGAACTGTCATTTCACCCCACCAGGAATTGTGCTTCTTAGGATCGATGAGGAAGATGATGAGGAAAATGTTAACTTAGGAGATTAGGATCTTATTACAGTATCTTATCAAACTTGTACTGTTTTTATTTATTGTTAAACATTTAGATGTGTGTTTTATCTATTTGTTCTCTTATCTCACTATATGTTATTATTAGTACTATTATTATCCATCTAATTAAATTTCAATCTATTATTTAACGATTACATTTTATTTCATAATACCTATTATTATCCACTTAATAAGTAAGCTAAAAACAAAAAAAAACAAAAGCAAAAACAAAACAAAATACAAAAAATTAAAACTTCACAAAAAAAGTAAAAAAAAAAAAAAAACAAAATAGCGACGACAATTTTGTCAATATTTTTCAGTGCGGATAACTTTTAGCTAGCGACGAAATGTTGTCGCTAAAAGTGTTCCCCAATTTTTAAAATCGGACAAATTATAAACTTTATGTGACGACTTTTTGAAAAAGTCAAAAAGTCGTTGATAGTTGTTCTGTCACTTCCGATCAGAAACTTTGATTTGGAAATAATGACGACTTGTCGTTGTTAAAAAAGTATTAGCGACGACTGGTTAGCAACGACAAGTAGAGAGAATGTTTGGTTAGGGTTTGAGATTTTGGAATCGATTGGAGAAAAGATAAAATTAGAAATAAAGGTCTCATTTAGTTGTCCAATTCGAGTTCGAATCGGAGAACTGAACGAAGGGTAAAGTTAGCCTTGACAATCAAATTGAAAAATATTTATTTAAAAGTAAAATGAGAATATGGTGTAATTTACTATCATTTAAAAAAAATGCTATTTACTCTAATATAGCTATGAAATATACTATATAGTTTATTTTATCTATCTCTTTTTTTTTTTTTTCATTTTCTCTCTCTGTTTCTTTTTTTCCTCTAACTTTAGTGAATGAAATTGGATCTCAAATCTTCTATGTCTGGGACCTTAATATATTTGATTAAACTTATTACTAAGGCACAATTACTTATATTACTAAGGCACAATTAGTTCTTCTAGATAAAGACAACCAAAAACAACTAATATTATAAAATATCCAATATTGCATTTTTTAAAAGAATATTCAATATTAAAATTTTTTTATTATAAAGAATATCAAATATTACTTGTAACGCATTTGTGGCCTCCATTCATTGTTGAGATTTATAAATATGTTGACAAAAATACTTATAAACATGTTGGCTACAAGTTGGCCGCCAAAGTAACTTTCATGTAAGCACCGATAAGTTGTAACAAAAGTTGCTGCGCAACGTCACTTGATTTTCTAGCAAGTTGCACATGCATTTTCATATTTCATATTTCGTATTTCTTGACATGGGACTTGAATCCTTGATGATGTGATCTTAGTGGGACATTACGCGCGGGAATTTTGACTTTCCTATTAGATGTAAATTTTTGAAAAACTTTGAGAGAGTTTCTCAAATAAGTCGTAAAAGATAAATTAACAGTAATTCTCAATTTTCAATTGTCAGAATTAGTCAAAATTACATCAATTTAAAAAAATATGCAAGATAAATAATTTTTATTATAGATCTGACGTGACGTCTTGGAACAGAAAATCATCAGTAGTTCATTATTTTTAGACCTACTAGAGAAACTATTAAATTTTTATTATGTCTCACTTAAGCACAAGAGTTTTTTTTTTTTTTTTTTTTTTTTTTTGGTAGATTTAGAAAAAATGAATTACCGAAAAGTTTATATTTTCAGCTATCAGGTCTATATAAAAAATTATTTATTCTGCATGTTTTTTTTTTTTTTTTTTAGAATTTTAATCATATTTCACTCGTACATTTGCGTTTTATATTGTGTCTCCACTGAAAACTTTCTACATGAATGTCTTTCTCTCTTGTTCATGTGTTGGTACTCGTTATGGTATTCTCAGAAAGTGAAACTTCCATGTTTTTAATTGCGATTAGTACCTAAAGCTCCTATGTATTTTTAATTAAGAGCTCGTTTGGTTCATGGATTAGAATCATGAGATTAGAACGATTTTTGATTTATGTGTATTTTTTGTGAGAGAAAATACTGTAGCGAACTATGAATCATGATTTGAATCAGAAAACGAATCCTCCAACCAAACGGGCTCTAAATGTCATGTTTTACCTGGTATTTTTATAAATGATATGACCACCTCCTGTGTTTTTTTTTTTTTTTTAATTTCATGTTAGAAACCTCAACTTTGAGCAAAAATCAATCGTACTTAAATGTGAAAAAGGCGATTTTAACAGACTTCAACACCTTAAATTTAACTAATTCAACCCAATCTTGTGATTAAAATGATCTTTCCGTACCTTACCTTCGATCAAAAGTGGAGTTTTTAATATGAAACTAAAAACACAAGATTTGGTCACGAAGCAGTAAATGACGTGGCATTTCGATAAAAAAAATAGAGAGTTTATAGACTCATCCCTTTTTAATTAATATTGACAGTCCAAGTGTCCAACACATAATTTGAAGTTTTATGAAGATTATTGCATATTTTTAAGAACATTGCATATTTGTATTTGCAATATTGCTCTTAATGAGAACATTAATTTATAATTGGGACTTTTCAGTATTGGCAGTCTGCGTAAAATTTTTATTTTAATCAAACTTGCCATTATATAAAAAAATTCTTTTAATTGCACTTATTTTATTACCGAATCAGTACGTAATGCCATGCATCAAACGTAATAAAGCAATTACAGCACTAATAAGTAGTAATTGGATTAAAGTAACTTTCTAATGACCAGCATGAAATGTACTTGTCTGTGGCAAAGAGAATTATACATGCAAGTTTGAATAAGAAATCAATTTTTTTACATTTTTGAGTTAGGGTGACTTGAGTGATGATCTTGAGTTGAGTTGGAGTTATTACTTGAGTTGAAGTTGTAACTTGAGAGTTTGTGTTTAGATGTGCACATTTACGTTATGATTTGAATTGAGAATCTATTTGAGTTTTTGTTTAGTGGGTCAAAATTTAAATTTAAATTTAGATAGTATTTTAATAAAAACTCAATGGTGATGAAAAATTTTAGTAGGGTATATGGGTGGGGTGTTATTCGTCTTTTCGTTATGAATGCATAGAAAAAAAATCATCTCAATCAGAATTAAAACGAAAAAGTTATAGTATTTTTAATAATAAAAAAAAATAATGTTCATTAATTTGAGTTCGAGTTTATGAACTCGAGTTGAAGGGAAAACTTGAATTCGAGTTGAAGGGAAAACTTGAACTCGAGTTTAAATTTGAGTTCAAACTCGAATTTAAACTCATTTTACAAAAGAACGTGAACTGAAATAAAATTATAACTTGAGTTTAATTTTTTTTTAAATTTTATTGTAAAAGAACAACCCAAAAAGATGTTGCCCTTTGCCTTTGTTCTACTAATAATACTTCTTTATACTACCTTTAGTTCACAACGATTTCTTTGAAAACCGCCGTCAAAAGCCTCACCAAAAAACTATGCTATTGAATTTTTTTTTTTTGTTTTTTGTTTTTTTAGAAAACATAATAAAAGTGGCAGATTCTATGCTAGCTTTCCGAACACTGCCGTAAAAATGTCAAGATTTTCCCCAGAGAGAGAGTATTTTTTCCTTCCACCAGTTGTATTTTGAATTTTCTCTTAAGTCTGATTAAATCTTTCTCTTCCTCATTGCACAGCCCGATCACCATCAACGTCATCCAACATCCCTAAACGTTATCGTTGTCCCTCCTGGGCATATTACATAAAAATTTATAAAATGTTTAGCTCATGAGTTCAGAATCATAATTCATAATTTTAATTTTTAAAATTTAAATTATTTATGAGAAAAAAATACCGTAGAGAATCAAGAATTATAATTCAGAACCCAAAACGAACTCTTAAAACAAACATGCCATTAAATTTTTATTCAAATCTAAGAAGTAAATGGATTATAAATCTCCACCGTTCTTGACAAAAAAAAAAAAAAAAAAAAAAAAAAAAAAAAAAACCCTTGCCTTCATTGTGAGCCCGCCATCTAGGATTCGAGGTTAGCGTTTTCCATACAAGAAATTAAAGAAAAGGAACCTTTTGCACAACCAGAACAAAGAATTGGACCCTTCTTGCAAAAAATAAATTTCATCCCTCGAGTACTTGACGAGTAAAAATCAAGTTTCAAATGCGTTAAACTCCATCAAGTATATCAGATAGCATTATCCTTGGTTGCTTGGAAGGCTATAAAAAGAGTTGCTTATTTTCAACAAACTAGTTGGTAAAATCACACTCTAAACTATCACAATTTACAGTATACATTTTGTGGAAACCCTTGAAGTACTTTAAGAGTAGTGCATAAACGAAAAAGAAACTGAAGTCGGAACATAAAAGATACATTGATGATTAAACTACTCGAAGACATATAGACGGTTTGGCGATCAATACAATTCGCAATATATAATCTCTAGTTCCTACTCTGCCAATAGTCGGAATCTGGATTGAGCGGGTAGAGATCATGAGCCGATGAAGAAGAACCAGTCCACGGTCCTTCAATTGACATACTGTGTGTCTGACTGTCAGCATGATTTCCTTCTTGAATGATTTGATTATGTTTCCTCATCACGGAAATATCATGAATTGAGACACTCGTATCCTGGATCAGCTCCTGAATGGCCGTTTTGCCTTCGAGTATGCTCACCACAGACGACATGGTAGGCCTAGCGGCTGCAGAGACATTAGCGCAGAGGAGGGCCACATTGATGGTCAACAATACTTCTTCTTTGTCATAGTCCGAGCCTAACCTCGGATCAACTAGCTTGATTAAATTCCCTTCCTCTTTTAGAAGAAGTGCCTAGAAAGCAGAAATGACAAACAATTTAGTTGTAATAAAAATCCAGCCTCACCACACAATGAATCTTTCAATTTAATTAGGACTGCCAAAGACTCAAAATGCAGTTTTAAAGTTTAAACATTGTCAGAGGAAGAGCAAAATACATGTCTAAGGTAGTTATATGAACAGAATTAAATCAAATTCTATCAATCAAGAAGAATTGAATAGCACTAGGAAGCAAATTTACCCAATCAAGAAGATAAAAGCAGTCGTCCTTTAAACGGTAAGTAGTGTTGCCTTTTCCACTAATAATTTCCAAGACAACAATTCCGTAACTGTATACATCTGCCTTATCGGTTAAGTAGCCGCGCATTGCATATTCAGGTGCCATATATCCACTGCAAAACCATGGGTAACCATTAGATATGCTGATAGAATTAGCAAGAATTTCATTAGTACTGTGATTATTTTCAGACTCATGCTTCAACTGAAAAACAGAACAGCTCCCACATTTGAAGAGAGAATCAGATCTCTTTTGCACAAGACTAAATTACTTAACTCTTTTCAAAAAGTTGTTTTCTAAAACACTCATATGGTTGAGTAAAATTGGTCAAGATTTCCCATGGGATGGAGATTAAGTGTGGAAAACAAGAAACAAAATTAACAAACAGGGACTTACTAAGTTCCAGCAATTCGGGTGCTTATGTGGGAATTCTCCTCTTCATCAAGCTTGGCCAAACCAAAGTCAGATATCTTAGGATTAAGATCTTTATCAAGAAGGACATTAGTAGACTTGATATCTCTATGAACAATCTTCAATCTTGATTCTTCATGGAGATAAGCCAAACCTCTTGCAATACCAACACATATCTTTCGCCTTGCTGGCCAATCTAGTTGTAACTGACTCTCCTCAGGACCTATAACGTTTCAAACCAATGCAAGTAGAAAAATATGAACATTTATTGGGTGCGAAACAAGTTATCCTAATAGGGAAAACCAAAAACCACTGAATATACACAGGCCATTTTACCGAATAAAGCACGTGCAACGTTGTTATTTTTCATGTACTCGTACACAAGCAGCAATTGGTCGCCTTCGATACAGCACCCATAGAGCTTAACAAGATGAGGGTGTTGCACAGCTGAGATCATGCCTATCTCATTCAAAAATTCACGATTCCCTTGCTTTGATTTGGAAGAAAGCTGCTTAACTGCAATTATGGCGCCATCATATAGAACACCCTGCATTTGAGAACACATCCAAAGTTCCTTCATTTGAAGAAAAAACAAAATCTTAAGGAAGAGACACAAATTGTAATTAGCTCCAATCGATAATGAGCTCCAATTGATAAATGTAATTAGGATCCTAAATGCCAAAATAAAAAAAGTTCAAGGTCCAAATTGTCAACCAACAAAAAGTTTACAATGCATTTTGTGCAAAAATTGTTGGACATTATGTCCACCAATTGATGTCCGTTTTCTATCGGACGTTCATTAATAAAAGATGTCAATTAATTAATGAAAATTTGTAACGACCCACACCCCCACTTAGTATGATACTGTCTGCTTTGGGCCTGAGCCCGCACGGTTTTACTTTTACGCCTCACCCTAAAATGTCTCATACTATTAGTAGGTGGTGTCATTCCTTATAAACTAGGACCTATCTTCATCCCCAGACGATGTGAGACTATACAACTTACCCTTTCTTGGCCTTGTGCCTCAAGGGATTGATGACTGTCACAATCACCCCTCCTTATGGGGGCCCAACATCCTCGTTGGCCACATTTTCGGCTGGATAGAGTCTCTGATACTATATGTAATGACCCACACCCCCACCTGGTATGATATTGTCCGCTTTGGGCTTGAGTCCGCACGGTTTTACTTTTGGGCCTCACCCCAAAAGGCCTCATACCATTGGTAGGTGGTGTCATTTCTTATAAACCAGAACCTATCTTCATCCCCAGGTGATGTGAGACTGCACAACTTACCCTTTCTTGGCCTTGTGCCTCAAGGGATTGATGGTTGTCACAATCACCCCTCCTTATGGGGGCCCAACGTCCTCGTTGGCCACATTTCCGGCTGGGTAGAGTCTCTGATACCATATGTTACGACCCACACCCCCACTTGGTAAGATATTGTCCGCTTTGGGCCTGAGCCCGCACGGTTTTGCTTTTGGGTCTCACCCCAAAAGGACTCAAACCATTGGTAGGTGGTGTCATTCCTTATAAACCAAGACCTATCTTCATCCCCAGGCGATGTGAGACGGACAATATTATACCAAGTGGGGGTGCAGGTAATTACATATGGTATCAGAGATTCTACCCTACCGGAAATGTGGCCAACGAGGACGTTGGGCCCCCGTGAGGGGTGATTGTGACAACCATCAATCTCTTGAGGCACAAGACCAAGAAAGGGCAAGTCGTTCAGTCTCACATCGCCTGGGGATGAAGATATGTCCTGGTTTATAAGGAATGACACCACCTACCAATAGTATGAGGCCTTTTGGGGTGAGGCCGAAAAGCAAAACCGTGAGGGCTCAGGCCCAAAGCGGACAATATCATGCCAAGTGGGGGTGCGGGTCGTTACAAAATTAGAGCCCCAAATGCAAAAATCGTAAAGTTCAAGGTTCAACTTGTTAGCCAACAATATGTTTGAGATGTATTTTGTGCAAAAATTGTGGGGGCGTTATGTCTACCAATTGACGTTTGTTTGCTATTGGACCATAATTGCAATGGATTCTTAAATTTAGGATACCATTTGTCAAAATTGAGAGTTTGGGGTCTAAGGTACAAAACACTAATAAGTTCAGGGTGCATGGATGCAAAAATCTCACGAAATAAAACATCCAATGCTTGTGAGGAATACCTTGTAAACAGGACCAAAACCACCTTCTCCAATCTTATTGGCTACATCAAAATTGTTTGTAGCAGCTTTGATTTGCCTCAGGGTAAATTTACCAGTTTTCAAGTCCACACCCTTTAGATCTGTACAAGAAGTAAACTGCTTATAAATAAAATATTTACTAAAAGCCTTGGCATTCTTGACCTTTTGTTGCAAATCTAAAGACCGGCGATGCAGAAAATACTACTATATCCATCTTGATTAGATAAGATACTAGCATGTATATGATTATCCATACTAATGTTGATGTATGCAAGATGACAGCCACAGTTACTTGACAATACTTGACAAAATTCTATTACTGTCGTCAAAATTACCTTGCTCCAAAGTAGTTTTCCGCCTTTGGCAGCATTTCCTCCAAAGGACACCGATTATGAGCAATACAACAAGCAATGATCCAACGACGATTCCGACTATTGCACCTACAGATATGCTACTTCCAGTTTCTGTTGATGTGGATGGAGGTTGAAAGTCTGCCAAAGGAAGATAATAGTCATATTTAACATTGGAAGCTGCAGCATTATGTGAGGAAAATGTATTTCAAAATTTAACAACATTCCCATATTTTTTTTTCGTTCCAAAAAAAATTGACTTTAATTATCTCTAAAACAAAATGGTCACTTCTGGATGTTATTGCATTGAACTTGAGATATAATCACTCTACAAAGTAAGACATTAGGAAAATACATGACAGTGAAAATTGAGGAATAGTAGCAAAAACAAGAAGCTAAATATGGCAATGCAACATACCAGAATTCACAGAAATTGCTGATATGAGAGGACCGTAGACTCCTCTATTGGGGATAGCAGTCGTCCCTTTCCCGGCCCAATAGAAGCGGATATCCAGGGTGCTACTAGTGACAACGGCAGTGAAGTTTTTTATGACTGCTTTACCAGCTTGACCAGCTTCATCTGCGATATTGAAATCCTTGAGCACTAGCTTTCCCTGCAATATACTTAGCTGTTACTTGGCATTTCATTATGTCTATAAGGTTCAAATCTTAAGCATTTCAGAGCAGTTGACAGTATGACAAGAATCTGTCAAATGTTTTCCTCCATAAAAACATCTACGAAAGTAATATCAACCCTTAGGTTTATAGGTCTGTTTGGCAGCGCTTCCTGGAAGATGTTTTTGTCGTCGGTACTCCAAAAGAGCTTCCAATAAAAGTCATAAAGTGTGGCGTCTCAAAAAAAAAAAAAAAAAAAAAAAAAAAAAATCTAAGACTTTTAAATTCATCCCAGAGTTTTAACAAGATTTTAGAAACTTCGCTCTAGCATTTTTTATATTCTCTATAGAAAATTTAAATATCATTTTTATACCAGTATGCACTTTCAAAATTGTTCCAATTTTCCAAACACTAATTTCTCTTCCTCTAGTGCCTAAAAGCATAAGTAAAACAATGCCAAACAAGCTCTATATCAGTTTGAATAAGTTTGATAAGCTACCTGAATGTAGACATCAAACAGACGCCTTCCAAGGCTACTGTATGTTGTGTCATTTGTGAACATTATCTCAGCAAAATGGAGTTTTACTGTGTAGTTTCCGTTTCCCAAACAGAAAGCATAATAAGTTAGGGAAATGGGAGAAAGACGTGCATTCATGTACAGTTCCGGATTTGCCACAGTTAGGCTAGATAAATTTCCTGTAGTATAGGAGTCTTTAGGACTGTCATTATCTGCAAAGTAACCGGTTGTGCTGACTGCCCAATTTGTTTTACTTACGAACAAATTTGAAGGTCCAGCTGAATCGGTATCGGATTCAAATGTGGTGCCATTGACAGTAACTTCTTTTCCACCACAATTAATATGAAGAGAGTACCAATCTGAGACAGACGCAACAATAATTAGCAAATAGATTCTCTGGTAATATCAAAATTTTCCATCGCTATCTAAATTTTAATATCTAATGTAGCATAACTGCTGATTTAATATTTCTCCATAGTCTAGGGGGAAAATTGTTAAAATCTAAAGTTTATGTGGAGACTCCACTCATGCCTAAAAGTTTAGGCGGGTATTTATAGCTATTCTAAAAAGGAACTACGAAATAAGTAAAAATTTTACTTGTTTTTTGGCATCGAATAGAGAAAAATTTTGACTTACTTCCATAACATGTCAAACATGAAACAATTTTGCTGCAAGAGAAAAAAAAATTCCATAACATGTCAGAAACTACTATTGAGTACTCTATTTGGTACTTCATAATAAGGAGAAAAACAAGGCAAGCTTAGTATCAACAACTTTAGGGTGGTAGTTTTAAGAAGATAAGTATGAAACTTACGAGTTATTGCCCTGCGAAGAGCTTGCAAACAAGTTCCTGAAGAAAACAACAGAAAGTGAAAAATCAAAATTTGTTTTCATAAATATCAAGCACTAAGGGAAAATGTACACTTACACATTCCTCTGCTGACAGCTCGAGTTGTTAACCGTGAAGTTGTTGTATGAAAGATCACTGCTCAAAAGAAGTTGTCACATAATCTATCAAACCAAAAGTGCAGTGGATAAAAATAAACTCGATAGAGCAGAACATCACATATACTATTGTTTGAAATATCTGAGGAAGAAATGGTAATCCTTTAAAAAAATAATAAAAAAAAAAAAAAAAAAAACAATTCTTAGGATCCAATTCTCTGTAATCCAGGAAATAAGACTAGCAGACAGACTTGAGACTTAATATCGATAATTCACTTCAAGCTTCCTGTTGGACGTTCCTATTATTTGGACTTTCCTTTATTTGTCCAATTTTAACCGCCTATGATGGTGCATGGTTAAACTAGTTAAGGAAATATTTTATTTAGAATAAAATCACAAGGAAGAGGAAAGTATCACAAGGAAAGGGAAAGTATCTTGACTGATAGAGCAATTGTGTTAATTACTCTCTCTCAATTAATGAGTAACTTTCCCATTTTTAATCAAGAGACGAGCCCATAAATATGTGCATAGGAATGCACATAAGAGATACAAGTCATTCGTTCTCTCTCTTTCTCTCTCTCTAGAATTCCATAGTGTTCTTGAGTTGTGAAAATATTGTGAGGGTTCTAGGCCTCGTTCACTTCGCGGATTCAAGTTTTCAATTCGAGCTGAGATGTGACATTTTCTGAGAGCTTTTCACTGTAGCAGAAAAAGTTAGATGTGATATTTTTTGAGAGTTTTTTTACTGCAGAAATTTAAAACTGAAAACTCGAATCGGTGAAATAAACGAGGCCTAGTAATTCTCACACACCGTCGGCGTTCAGAGTTTTGCTTCCTGGAGTATCGTAAGGCTTCTCGTCGCGATCCTTGATCTGTGCCCATTTGGAGATTCGACCCAGCACTACCGCACACGCTACCGTCACTTCCTTTTATCAATTTCAGGTGCTTATAAAATCATATTCCAGAATAACAAGTGCCTTTCAAGATACAAAGCCTTTCTCATCCACGTTGAGCAATAAAAACAAGCAGTATTATTTGAGTTTATCTGGGAAGGATGCAGAAATGTAATGGATACACACCAACAACTTTTAAGAAAAACTTCCTGAAAACCTTGAGGCTATAAAATAATCTGAAAAAAGTATTTGGTGCATGTTTGATGTTGCATTGGTAAGTCTAAAATGCAGATAACAATCCGCAAAATTAGAGAGAGAGAGAGAGAGAGAGAGAATGCACGACAAAACTTGATAGTAATGCTTTATCAACTAATGGATAATAGAGATTGAAACTAGTTTTCATAGTTGAAGATCATATAGGTGTCATATGGAATAGAAGCTTACATGCTCTCCCCCTTTGTAAGCAACCACTCAGCCACTTCTCCAGAAAGCAAGTTTCCAGTCAAGAATCTAAACAGAATCAATAAGAAATATTTCAGCACAAGTATACAGTTTTCTCAGAGCGGATACTAAAGTCTAAAGATACCGATTGTCGAAAATCAAACGAAAAAGATATTGACATCTTAAACTACTGAGAACAAAGAACTAAAAACTGGGATAAATGCATGTTTCTAATGAGAGAAGTAGCCAACTTCTGTTATCACAAGGAAATCAAGTTCTTTAGAAGCATTTAAGGCCTTCGACCTCCTACGGTTCAACAGTCAAGTTCTCAATCTAATGCGTTTATGCACATGACTTAAGTGCTTGACATCTTCCAAGTTCTCCATGGAAGAACACCCAGTCAGTAACATTCAAACTCTTTTCCTCGGCCGGGACAACGTGACTGTAGCCATTTTTGAATAAGAAACTTCATACCTAGAATCCAAATTGCTTACATGTAATCCACATTCGATAGACTGGCAAGGCTGTTAGGAACATTTCCACTTAGCTTGTTGAAGCTGAGATCCCTGCAAGAATATTTTTAAGCATTCGAACTTAGAAAATGTTGTCAGTGGAGATAAATCTTAAAACAACTTTATTTTCTCTGAAATGCATAATTATAAGATAATAATTCACATACGCACGCATAATTCTCGCTCAGTACTTAAACTCGACCAATCTAAGAGTCACTGCTAGGACAACTTCCGGAATAGAAATTATAATGTTAATTTCTTACAAGATGTGTACTGCTAAGAAAAAAAATGAGTACGCATTTCTTTAATCAAGCTTAAATTGTGAAACTATCAACAGAGAACTGGTTGTTTTGCTACATTCCATTATTCACAGACTTCCTCTGAGACATGTTCTTGCTTGAACTATTATTTGATTCTTAAATCAACGTTCAAAATCTCAATCTATAAGTACAAATATATAAAAGAGAGTGAAAGATATCTATACTAACAAAGTTTTCAAACTTGACATTTCACCGAGGTAATCAGGTATGGTTCCATTAAGATTGCAATTTCTCAGGATCCTGCCATAGAAAAATAAATAGATATAAATTGAGTGATAACCTTTCAAGTATAGTAGACTTTTTCCAACACATAAAAAGAAAACTCACAAGGTCTTCATTTTTGTCATATTATTAAGTGGTGGAAACGTTGCTTCTGATCCGCTCAAGTCGCTAATTCTCCTACATTCAGAAAATTAACAATTTTAAATAAAGATAAAATATGAATTCTGGTATATCTGAAAAGACTAGCAGATGCTTTATGAATGCTACTACTAACAAGTCGGATAATTTTTCCAAGAGAGCAATGCTGGAAGGAATCGGCCCACTCAAACCGCTCGCTTGAATCGCTCTGTTGTTGCCAATAATGATTAAACCATTGATAAACACAAAAGTTGTTTAATTTGAGAGTTAAAAACATTATATACAATATCTCCCACAGTTTCTGAAGTTTGGTCCATTTCTGTATAAAACTTGGTATTTTCCCAGAAAAGCTATTGTCTCCAATCCGACTGCATTACAATAGAAGGAAAAAAAAAAAAAAAAACATTGCACTGATAAGCATTATTATACAATAAGCAGCATCTATTTTGTTCAATGAAAAGCTTATATGACTAAAAGAATTAAAAGCTTACAAATCCTTCAATGTTGTCAGCTTTCCAAGTGTTTCAGGCAATTCTCCAGTAAAATTGTTTGATGTAACAAGACTACATAAACACAAACAATGTTATAAAACAGTTGATCTATCATCACCAATATTCTTAATTAATGTTTACAGATTCAAGAAGTTCTCACAATCTCTCTATGTTGGACAGATTCCCAAGCTCCGGAGGTAGATTTCCTGAAAGACGGTTAATCTCGAGGACCCTAAGAATTTCGAACAATTTCATTAAAAAATTGTCACAAAAGAGCTTTCATAGTTCAAAATGAGGAGTGATCAACAAATAGGTAGTGATCTACTCACAAACTTTTCAGAGTGGTGATGTTTGCAAGTTCTTTGGGGATAGAACCCGTTAACCTGTTTCCTAGAAGGGAACTGCAAACACAAACCATATCTTAGTTTCATACAAAAATAACAATGATAACAATTAGTAACAGACTAATTAAAAAGAAAAAAAGCAAATGCTAAGTACCCATTTTGTGAAATAAATAGCTGGGAGTACTAGAGTGAATTACATAGAATCAATTAAAAAAAAAAAAAAAGAACAATAGAATTCAAAGAGGCAAAACAAAGAGAAGTGAGAGATAAGTACATATTGACAAGCTGGGATGAGCCCCATTCTGGAGGAATGGTACCGTTAAGGTAGTTGCGTGAGAGGTCACTGAGTGAAACAAAAAAAAAAAAGTATTAGAATTCAGAATCGGCCTCGTTCACTTTGCAGATTCGAGTTTTCAATTCGAGTTGAGATGTGACATTTTCTGAGAGCTTTTCACTGTAGTAGAAAAAATTAGATGTGACATTTTCTGAGAGTTTTTTACTGTAAAAACCTAAAACTGAAAACTCGAATCGGTGAAATGAACGAGAACTTACACTCGTTCACTTCATCGTGATTCGAATTTTTAATTTTTAATTTTTATATTTAAAATTTTTAAAAAAATATTATCACATATATTTTTTTATTACAATTAAATATTTTAAAAAAATATCATATATTAACTCAAATTAAAAATTTAAATCTACAAAATGAATGAGGCAACGAGAAGAGAATGAAAAGCAAAAGAAGAGAATGATAAAGAATGAGACTTACAATTCTTGAAGATAGGGAAGCTTCAGAAGATCCTTAGGGAGAGTACCCGGGAGACTCTGAGCCTTCAGAACTCTGTGTTTCAGCGCAAATTAATTGTCATCTTTTTATTTGGTAATAAAAAGCAAGAACAAATTTTAAATTTTAAGACTTGTAATGATGTGTCCGGAATTTTAAAATGCAATATCTTTTCTCCTTCAAATTGTCATAAATTTGATCATTCGATAAATTTTATGGATGAAATTGCTATACGTCAATACGTGAAATAAGAAAATAAATAAATGACATGAAATGACAATATATCTTATAAAAGAATTAAATTTGAGTTTGGATTAATTGTTACAGAAAATTTACAAATAAGTTAACAAGTGAAAATATTAAGATATTTCTAACACTTTTTTTTTTCTTTCTTCGAAGGGTTTACTCGTTGTGTAGAACTTTACGCCTTTAAAATCAGAGGAGATTAATATTACATTTTATGATTTTATAATTGAGGGGGTATTATCAACATGTATTATGAATTTTCAATGTTTTCCCTAAAAGCTATGATGTGAAAGACCAAACAATTCTCAAATTTGAAACTCAAGCACTTTCATAGGGTTTATGGCAATTTGGATCATATTCGACTTAAATTTTCTTGTTGTCGTGTTCGAGTCGACTCATGTGTCATCTGTTTAGTAGAAACGTCAATTAAATTTGTACTGTCATAATTAATATAAACAATTTCAGTACTAATTTATTTAGTCTATTTATCTGCATTTTACATTGTTAATATAGGTCACAAATGTTACACTTTTCATATTATTCAAATGAAATCTATTTTAAAAAAATTTTGCTAAAAAATATTTTCTTTCTATATTTGTATATATTTTTTAAAAAAATTATAAATCGAGTCAAATTTCGTATCAATCGTGTCTTTATGTTTGTATCATATCGCGTGCCGCAACCCATATTACTATTCTGTTTACCTGTTGTTATATGCGTAGGCTTGACAATTTGGGTTAGGAGGATTTGTGCCCAATAATAATAAATGGGCTTCTCCCACAGCTAGGGTGTAAATTGGTGAATAAAAGTGTAATAATAAAAGTGTTGCAGGTGAATAATTAAATTTTAATATAGTGCCAAACCTAAGTTACACGGCAAATTACACCTACAACTACCACTTATAAATATGATTGAAAAATATGATTCCCATATAACAACAGGACTATTTGTCTAACAAAATGACGATTTTGCCCTTCGGTTATAGCACCATAGAATTAGCAAGTTTATTAAAAAAGAAAAAAATGTCTTTCCTTTTCCATTTCCTAAAATTATTATTTTTTCAATCCTTCTAGAAAAGTGGCGTATTCGGATTTTAAATACTTCTTCTAACATACTATTTCTGTATAAAGTTTACATTTTTAATTTAAACACAAAAATAGTATAGGCAAATAATTCTATTTAAAAAGTGGTGACTGAAAATGGCCCATTCCTATAAATAAACGAAGTCCAAAGTGATGACTGAAAAAGTGGTAATTGTGTTATATTCCTATAAATAGACTAAGGAAGGAAGGAAGAAATTTGTCAGATTTTATGAGAATTCTTTTTTTTTTTATTTTTATTTTTTATTTTTTAGCAAGTTGTTAGTGGTCCATTCACTTCGCTGATTCGAGTTTGTAATTCGAGTTGAAATGTGATTTTATGTTAAAGCTTTTTATTGTAACAAAAAAGTTAAATATGACTGTTTCTGAATACTTTTTACTGTAACAAAACTTAAATTTTAAATTCGAATTGGTGAAGTGAACGGGCTAACTCTCCAAACTATTACACTAGTAGATTTTTATTTTTTTTTCCCCTAGGAAAGAGGAACATCAATCTTTAGAATCTGCATATACAGTTTAAGAATAATACTAAGGACGTCAAATTTTCATTCTAATTCTTCTACCAATTAATTTTGAGTTAAAAATTGTCCCGTCAATTAGTAGTTATAACAAAAATGGCAATTCAGAATTGGTGAATGAAACCAAAATCCATGAGTTTTTTTTTTTTTTTTTTTGCTAGAAAATCCATGAGTTTGAGGTGCTGAAAAATATCTCAAATGGCGATCACAAACGTGTCGGTGGGAATACAGCCTGTAAAGAATCCGCGGCTACTTAGTCAAATTGCCGCGTTACATATGTATACATGGGCCCACGTCTCGTGGGCATTAAAAAAAGAAAAATAATACAAAATAAATCCATATGAAAAGTTTAAAAAAATATATAAATTAATTTTTAGTTATAAAAATTAATAAGTCATAATTTATTAAGTTAAAGTTAATAATTAGATAAATTATGAATAATTATGGATAATAATTTATTAAATTATGATTAATAATTAAATAAATTATAGACGAAAATAATAATTTAATATATTTATTAACTTATATAAATTATTAACCTATTAATTTTAATTCATCTCAAATCTTAACCTATTTTTCTCTACTTTCCTTAAAAAAACATGAAAAAAAAAGCCCGTAATAAAGATGAAAGATGAGTTTTTGCAATTATTTGCAACTTGGCCCGACATGATATTACTCTCCTTTTATCTTTTCGGCTTTTTGATATTTTCTCATATTCCTCCTACACTCCTTTCCATTTTATTGGACGAAATTATGGACCCTGGAATTAATATTCCGGGACCAAATTATTTCCATTTGTCCCATTATATTTGTACGCATTGGAGCAAGAACGATATCTGGTCAAAAGTATGTTGACGAAAAAATCTTATTGTTCTAAAAAAAAAAAAAAAAAAAATCTTATTTATCGTCAAGGGTGAAAAAGTAACCACGTCATGAGTTTTTTTTAGTGCTGTGTTAAATGATAACAAAATATATGCAAGTAAAATGGAAACCACATATTTCATATTATATCTTAATAGTACTTAATTATTTGGGATAAAGTGATCAGGATATGTCCATAGTTTTTATTTTCAATATACCGATGTTTGGGGTAATTTAAGTCCCGTTCATTTTATCGATTCGAGTTTTATTACAGTAAAAAATTCTCAAAAACAGTCATATTTAACTTTTTTACTATAATAAAAAATTTTCACATAAAGTCACATCTAAACTCAAATTAAAAATTCAAATCATCAAATTAAATGAGCCCTTAGTATGTGTCTGTTCTAATTCCCACCAACTTATTGGTATTCTAGACTGTACAGTACACATGCATATTTAGTCAAAGTCAACATTTTGGAATATATATATAATTACGCGGATATCAACTTTTGTATGCAATTGGACATATTATATATGAAAAAAGATCCAATTAATTAGCAAAAAAACAAAATAGAAAAGTAGATTAAAAAAGGACAAGTAATTAATTGGACCACATAGACCTCCATTTTATTAACATCAAGAATGTTGAGGATTACCCATTAATAAAAAGTGAATTCTGTAAATAGTAGATAGAACCACATATAATTCATCTTCTATTGATAGTGGCCCAAAGCTTTTTTTTTATTTTTTTAATTTTTTGTACTTTTGAGTTTGGATAGTTGGTTAGATCCTACGTGATATAGTTGGATATTGATGCCTCACATTAGTTCTATATTTTAAACCATGTTAAAAAGTCAAAACCAATACTTTATAATACTATCAACTTCATCATACGTAAGATGAATATTAAGAAGAAACGGGTATTTCTTCTTTCTCTTTTTGGATTTTTTTTTTTTGTTTTTTTTTGTTTTTGGAGAAAACAGATGCATTTGGTCTTTTTTCTAATTTGTTGCCTTTTGTCCGGTTGTTGGATTTTCAGTCTCCTTATGGCTTTTTCCTATAACTTAACAATTCTTTTCTTATGCTTTTAACAAATAATTTTGCGACGTTGAAAACTTGTTGTGGGTAAGCTGCGAATTAACAAGTGCTAACCAAATTAGAATGTGCTTTCAGCCGCCAAAAGAAACCCCTAATTAGAATTGCACATGGTTAATGAGTGTTTTTAATATAAGTTGTCTTCTCTCATTCATTTCTATTATATGTTTGTAGTTTTTCAAAAAGTACCACAAAAACTCTAATTTTTCGAGTGCTTAAGATTAATCATATATGCGCGAAATGATATACATACATATATATATATATATATATGTATCTATAGTATATGTACATGCTGGTGACGTGGCAGGCAGTAGCACTGCAGAAGGAACGATTGCAGGAGACGGCATTCTCAAAGCCTTGAACAGGGTTTTTTGTAACCCAACCATAATCCCCACTGCATGGATCTACGCTGAAATTCCAGTTTGTTTTCCCAAGCGTTTTTGCTATCTCACGTAAAGCTTCCACTGCAGAATAAAAAAACTCAATCAAATTCGTATGATTATTAACCACATAATTGTTAATCAATGATAACAAAACGTTCTCTGAAATATAAATCTCTCTCTCTCTCTCTCTCTCTCACCTTCACTTTTGGGCAACTGAGCAGAAGCGTTGGAGGATAAGATCACGTAGAAGAACGTCACAAGGAAGAGAAAAGGTGATTGAGAGAAGAACATTTTGATCATCATATGAATCACATGTGGATTGAAGAGCAATTAGCTGGCTATATATATATATATATAAATGATACTAACAATAAGTTAAGAAGAGCTTCTTGTTGTATACTGATGGGGTTTTGGGAATTGTGAGGGGAAACTTGAGAAAGAGTACTAAAGAGGATGCGAGGAGATGAAGGAAAAAGAATATGACCTCTCTCTCTAAAGAGAATGCGAGGAGATGAAGGACAAAGAATATTACCTCTCTCTCTCTCTCTCTCTCTCTCTCTCTCTCTCTCTCTCTCTCTCTCTCTCTCTCTCTCTCTCTCTCTCTCTCTCTCTCTCTCTCTCTCTCTCTCTCTCTCTCTCTCTCTCTCTCTCTCTCTCTCTCTCTCTCTCTCTCTCTCTCTCTCTCTCTCTCTCTCTCTCTCTCTCTCTCTCTCTCTCTCTCTCTCTCTCTCTCTCTCTCTCTCTCTCTCTCTGGTGGGAACTGAGGAGTAGACCTCGAGAACTCACAAAAGTCCAAGTCTACTCTTATCAGAATATTCAGCCTACCAAAAAAAGAAATACACACACACACGCTTATATATACACGTATAATAGTTTTAAAAAGTTGTCGTCATTATTGCTAGATAAAATTATTATTATTATTTTTGCTAAATAAAACTTGGAATGAGGTTTCTAATGGGTATCAATTTAGTTAGGAATGTGTTAGTTTCCTCTAATTCTTGATGCTAGCTCTAATGCTAATTTTCGAAGCTTAAAAGTATTATAATGCAACTTAGTAGGGCTTATAAAACTACGAAATGAAGCCGCAAAAGTCTTTCTTGGCTGCGGACACTGCATGCCCTCAGATCAATGGACCCGTGAAGTTACTTTTATTGGTCATTTAGAGACGTTTGGTTCATGGATTAAAATCATGTGATTAGAATCATTTTTAATTTACGTGTATTTTTTATGAGAGAAAATATTATAACGAACCATGAACTATTATTCAAATCATGGTTTAAATCTTCCAACCAAACATCCCCTTAATCATAATACCCGACACTGTACTGCACTGTACCAACTTTAAATATGATGAGTTATAACGTCTCACGTTGCTTGTCGATTGATTCTGTCCAATTCTATATACACACAGATTTATATACAAGTGTGTGTATTTTTTTTTTTAAAATCTGAATATACATATATATATATATATATATGTGTGTGTGTGTATTTATATGTGTGTGTGGGTGGCTTTCGGTACTTTGATCATGTCTAGAACGTTGGTATTAGAGTAACTTCAATTCTTGACAAGTATTAGATCCTTCTGCTAATATCAAAGCCTTAAAAGTGGGTATTCCATTAATGATCAACAATCATACAGTTAAACATAACAGGATGAAAACTATAGTATCGGATTCTTTATAATATTTAAAAAGAATTGAAAAGAGATCCTAAAGAATATCTTAAATTAAAAACACTCGTCATGTATTTCTCAAAACTAACCTCATTTATAGGCTTTTTTTTTTTTTTCATTAATGTTCTTTTGCTTAGTTTCATTAGGTTTTTTAGGCATGCATTATATCACTTATAAAAGAAAATTTTCCCTTTTTTCTGTAATTTTTGCTTATTTTATTTTATGTTTTTTTTTTTAAAAAAAAATCTATGCGAATTAACTCTGTTATGAACTCCTTAGACTCTTGACTATCAGTCGGAGAAAAAAGTTCCTTAAAGTAATAAAATTAGATCCCATGATTACAAATTAAAGAGTTAATTTTTCATATTGCATCATAATAAAGTCCAACTACTGAACAAATTAAGTTAATGATCTGACAGCTCTTGTTGCTGCTTGATTATATCATCATGTATTTCACACTTTGATTTTGACAACAAGTATGATTACAATTTTTTTTAATAATTATTAGTAGCAATAAAGTATAAGATAGTAGAGTGATAAACAATTAGAACTCCCACTAGAAAATTTCTTATTATTCTCCAGAGAAATATTCTTAATAATTTCTTTAAAGTTATAGCTACGTATGATTGAACCAATTAATTATTAACTCTAATTATCCGCTGTAATTAAGGCAAGCACACTGCTAATTGCTAAAGCCTACACCAAACCATTTGAAAATACCTATTTCATTCGTGAGAATCATGAAAACAAAACGAGATTTCAGTGCAATACCCAATTGCTTGGGTTTATTTTCATGACAATTACGAAACTAATTAACAAATCATGAGCTTTTTCCACGAATCATGGCTTCTTCATGGTCAATTCATTGTCATGGGAGGGTCGGTATGTGTCAAATTTATTTTATTGACTTGAGTTGTTATTTTATAAGTTTGGGTTATGGTTAATATTGTTGCAGCCATCTATAAATTTGTGTGTGGCTTTTATTTATTTATTTATTCATTTATTTTTATTTTAAGAGGATGGTAAGAGAAAGAGAGAAAATTGAGAAGAGAGATCGATAAAGGGTACTGTTGGGGGTAGAGAGGTTGCTATGTAATTTTAGGGGGCGTTTGGTATTGTAAGTACCGGTTTAAGTCTTTTAACACTTTATAAGACAATATGAATAATGCAGAAACGTAAAATAAAAGAACACGAGAGAAATGATATCGCAGTTCGGTAACAACCTACTCCGCGGGGCCATGCCCAGATGATGAACAATCCACTAAGAACTCTTTTACTATTTAATTGAACTTAATCTACCTGAGACTCATTCTCTAAGAAGACGCCTATGAACTTGTAATTTTCCAATGGACTTGAACATTGGATCCCCTCGACTCTTAAACATTGGAATCCCTCCAACTAAGTTTTTCTCTAAAAAATACTCAAATAATCTCTCTTGAATATAAGTGCTCACCTCTTACACAACCTAGCAAAAACTAATCAAAAGGTGTGAAATGAACCGAGAGACTCTTCGAATAAATAAGCAGAAAGTTAATAGCTTGACAACCTCTTCAATTAATTCGCTGAACCAAATATGTTGCACATCCTTGTTGCAACAATAACTGCAACATAGCTGTCAAGGTCAATTTCTGAAAACCAGTTCGAATCAATCTGCTATAATTCTGAAACCTTTTCGAAACTGATATATGAATCTGGACACATTCTTAGAAAACAGAGGAAGATCATCTAGCTACGAAATATCAATCAAATATCAATCAAATTAATTTACCATCTTTGGATCATTAGTTGACTTTCAAAAATAGAAACTAAAATAAGTTTCCAGATCTTTCAGAAACCTTCCATAAGGAACTTGCCAACTGCACATCTAATCTCAAACACAATCAACCAGCCAATCATTCCTAAAATAATATCAATCATAAAACGATGAGAATCAATACAGAATTTGGAAAACAAATCCCAACAGGTATGTAGTAATCACTGTGAATCATATTATTGGGAAAGTGATAGAGGGTAATATGATTCCCTGGAAAGATGTATTATCATGTTTGGTTACATAAAAAAAATTTTCTTAGATTCTTAGGAATATCATTTTACCCTTTTAGTTGTATACATTAATTTAATATAATTATTTTTATAAAATTAAATATATGAAAACTAAATCAATAATTTTACAATTTTAAAACTAAACTAAATTTAAATTGAGTGACTTTAATTTTGACACCTGTGTTTATTTTCAAATATTATGAAAAAACTATTAAAAGAATATTTGAAAAAGTATTTTAAAAGAAGCTACTATTTATAAAGGCACTCTTTTTCTCTCTAAAACCTTTTCTCCTCCTTCTCTCTAAGTTTCTCTGTCGGTAATTTTCTCTTTGGCAGGAGGTCCGGCCTGTCGCTGGACCTCTGGCTATAAAAATCTCATCTCTGACCTTGCAGGGAGACGATCTATAAGGTGATGGGCTCCAAGTAAACAGAGGAGGTGACGTTTCATCAGATCTGACTCGTGAAGGTATGAGTTTCTCATTGGTTTTACATGATCTTCAGAAGGTGTTCGCCGGTCGTGGACTCTGGAAACTCATGCACAGACTGGGGGAGTTGCTTGCTTATGGCGTTCACACCATCTCCAACCAGATCTCTTTTGTGTAGGTTGTGGATTTGTGTATAGTTTTTTATATTTTGAATGGTAGTTTCTAGCCACTTTCTTTGGGAGTTCAAAGACTTGGGGACTATCCTTGAACGACTTTACAAACGTCGTGAATAGGTTGGACCTACGCACATGTAAGCTCATGTTTCATTGCGGTCTCCAGAACCGTGAAAGTTTAAACTAAATCATGCCTAATTCGATTTATGTTATCTTTATTTTCTTTTTTTCTTCAATCTTCTATTGTTATTGACACGTGTTCACGAGCCAAAACACCCACATAACTTTGTAGCTCATTCCCCATTTTTTGATCATGTTCAGAACGTGGATGCTTATAGAAGAACCATTCTTCATTTTCTCATGGGTGAAGGCTCTGACAGCATCCAAACGAGCCATGTTAGATAGAGCTTCGAACATAGCGTCTAGCCACTGCATTATCTCATAAGCAGTTCCATCTTCTCACGCTTCTTGCGAAGCACATCGCTCATGCTAGCCAACAGGTAACACTTAGCGTTATTGTTAACCTTAATCCAGCGATCATAGGCTTTCCTTGGTGCATTTTCCACATGTTCTGGATGACACTCCTCTATCAAGAAAAATTTGTAATCATCACAAATTAGCAAGATGTTCATATTACTTTTCTACTTATTATAATTGTCTTCATTCAGTTTTTCAGTAGCAAGTAACGAGATGATTAGATTAGACATGTTGTTGAATAAATAGTAAATTCAATTTTAATACTATATGCATGAATATCATAAAATCAAAGATTTGGCACAATTAAACGTGATGCATGATGCACATGATAAATACATAAAATCATGGTTTAACATTAGTTCCAACGATAATCTAATTTAGCACAAATATAGTACCACCGTAAGGTAGGTCAAAATATTCACAAATTGAACCGAGATTCTATCAATTAATGAGATTATCAAAATATCTCATATTTTTAACTTTTATTAATTATCGTTATTTTGGTCAAAATATAATTAACTATTTAATTATATTTTATGAGTATAACCCACCATTTTGGATTATACAGACTTAACTCTGAAGTGCCGTCAAACTGGAAATACATCTTTGAAACCTATCGCTAGAAAGTCAACCTTGATATCGATCTAGAATGGACACTCTCCGTAGGGAGGACAAAATCAATGCCGTCGTGAAGTGCCTTCCAGATCTCACGGTGCTGACTTAATGGTGGAGACTAGTAGGTCATATTGTTATGCA